TGGGGGTGGGATAGGTTTTGGGGGATGGTGGGGAGGTGGCATTGGACTGCAGGTGTGGGGCAGGGTGGTGCTGGGGGTGGGGAGCTGGTAGGAGGGGAAGTGGCACTGGCTGCAGGTGTGGGGCAGGGTTGTGCTGGGGGGCGGGGAGCTGGTGGGAGGGGAGGTGGCGCTGGCTGTGGGGCTGGGCAGGGCAGCGCTGGGGCAGGGTGGTGCTGGGGGTGGGGAGCTGGTGGGAGAGGAGGTGGCACTGGGGCAGGGGAGCTGGTGGGAGAGGAGGTGGCGCTGGCTGTGGGGCTGGGCTGGGCAGCGCTGGGGCAGGGTGGTGCTGGGGGCGGGGAGCTGGTGGGAGGGGAGGTGGCACTGGGGCAGGGGAGCTGGTGGGAGAGGAGGTGGCGCTGGCTGTGGGGCTGGGCTGGGCAGCGCGGGGGCAGGAGGCTGCTAGAGATATTCTGCCCTCACTGGCGCCTGTGTCTCGCCTTGTGCTTCAGGTGACGCCTTCAGCGAAGAGGCCAACAAGCGGTTTGAACAGTACCCAGGACAGCTCAACAACCAGATTGTATAGTGACCCCTCTCCCCCCCCCATGCCCCCCGGAAAGGCCGTCTCCCCACACACCACCGGGTGCTCGGAGGTGGAAGCAGTTTGTCCCGGGGCAGCGTCACGTCCCAGGCTGGCTTGCGGGGCTCTGTGGTGAGAGGATCTGTGCCCAGCAGCAGCTGGTGCAGGTGCCAGGTGCAGCCTCTGGCCCGGCCCAGCTCGGCTGTGGAGTCCTCGGGCATCTCTGATCTCAGGCAGGATTTTCCTGGGCTGATGTGGCCCCACATTCTTGTCTGACCGTGCAGGGCCTGACAGGAGGGAGGCTCTGGGCACTGCGCCCCACGGCACCCAGCCCTGCTCGGGGAGAACTGTGGACTTCTACCACTGGGCAGTACGGGGGCTTCCGCACCTCGTTGTGGGGCTGAGGTGCAGCATGACACCAAGCAGGGCAGGGTTAGAGCCTGGGCCAAATCTGGCAGCTTCCTCTCCCTGGGAGAGTTGGAGAGGTGTGTGAATGGCCATCAGCTGCCTCCAGCTCTGTCCCCAGCTCCTGCCCCCCATCATCTCCTCCCACCACTGCCACACACTCATCCTGCCCCTCCACCTCCCACCGCCCCCTCAGCCACTGGCCTGACCAGCCCCCCCTAGTTCCCAGCCGACACAGGAACCTCATGGAAGAGGAGCAACGGCTCCAGGCACCTTACTCAGCGTCCCTTGGCCCATGCCACCTGCAGGGCTGGCCGGGTCTGGGCCGTCACACCTGTCTCCGTACAGCAGCGTGTCTGTGTACTTAAAGAGCTAAAACCACATCAGGCTGCCCTGCTCATGGTTGGGACGCCCCCATTTCTCAGTTGTCATTTTATTTTCTGTATAAAAGTGACGGTCTGTTTCCCTGAGCACTGCTGGCTGGTTTTTCCCATGAGCTACACGCAGGGGCTTCCTGCCTGGCCAAGGGGAGAGCCTGGCCCTGAGACAAACCAGGGCAGCGCAGGCCTGCAGCTCCTGGTCACAGCTCCCAGCAAGGGTAGGTGCCCGCCCGGAGAACATGGGGATAGCGGCCCAGCTGCAGTGCGAGGGCCAGCCCTGGCGCCAGCGGTAAAGGGCAGAATGGCTTTGCCCTGCCACCGACAGGTGAGGGAACCCAGTGCTCCCTGGGCCACAGAGTGGGCAGCTGCTCCTGCAAAGGGTGGGGTAGGGCTCACTAACCCACAGCCTGGGGGTGGGGATGCCACCCAATGCACCTGAGGGCTCCAGCGTGGCTAGGGAGCCACTGGAAGAGGCAGGCTACGGGAGAGCTCTGCCTGCGAGCGGGGATGTGGGGGGTTGGCTGGTAGGAGATAAAGGAAGCTCAGGCTGGGGGGCAGAGCTGGGCCTGTCCCCAGGGAGTGGGGTTTGCTGGTGTGACAGGAAGGGGCAGACTGCAGAGCTGGGGGGCAGGGGGGATAGGGCCATGCCTGGGGACAAACTGCCCTGGGGCAACACACAACCTGGGTCCAGCACACGCCCCTGGCTTGGGCAGTTTGCCTTTGGCCCAGCCAGACGCTGCTGAACCCTCCCCCTGGCTGAGGAGTGTCAGCTGGAGCCCGGAGCCAGCCCTCTGTCCCCAATGCATGGGGCTGTCACGGGCTGGGCCCAGCCTGCAAGGAGATGCCAGGGCCAGCTCACAGCTGTCACTGGGCCCCTAATGTGCCGCTGAGGCAATGGCCCGGCCTTGCTGGCGTGGCTGCAGCCGGAGTGCAAGCAGCTGAGCTGCAGGGCCCTGGGGGGAGGTGGGCACGAGATGCCCGGGCAGGGCATCAGGTATGCATGGCCCAGCAGCCTCCAGCCAGGACTAGGCACCCATGTCCCCACTGGGCTTGATCAGGGCAGGGAGCCTGAGAAGCAGCAGCAGGTGCCACTGCAGAGCCTCAGGGGCAGGAGGAATCAGAGGCAAGTGTGTTGGGCTAGGAGGGCAGGGCCCAAGGTGGGTAGCCCAGGTGCCACCACGGAGGGAGAAGCCAGGCTGGACTAGTGGAGATCATCCCTGCAGGAGCGGTGAGGGCAACATAAGCAACTGCATGGGGAGCTGCCAGGGTGGGAGGAAATGGGGGGACAGGTGCTGACTCCTGGCTCTGGAAAGAGCTAGGGACAGCTGCCACCACCGCTCTTTCCGCCGCAAGCAAGCGCCCCTCCTCCCTCGCTGGGGTTTGGTGTAGAACAAATTCCACTGGAGGGGCCAGGGCCGGCCATGAAAAGAGGCCTCTATGCTGGGCTGTTTTTCCTGTCTGGGGGGGAGCCGTAGTTCAGAGCTGCCTCCCCGCCCAGCACTGAGCTCCTTTCATACATTAAAACAGCCACGTGCCAGGGCTGCACAGGGCCCCAGCTCAGACCCACAGCTGCGCTCCTGCTAGCAGCAGCACTCCCCCCCCCACGGGCCTGGCCTGCAGCTCCCTGCCACAGGGAATTCCAGGAACTGGGGAACAGCGTGGAGCTGCTGGTTCCCAGAATGCGATGCTGGGGGCTCCCTGCTGCAGGGCCCAGGGAGGGGAACAAACAGCCCAGCCCCCCCTCCCCCGGCTCAGCAGCAGCAGGGCAGTGAGAGGCAAGCAGTCCCTGCTCCCCAGCCAGTGCCTGCAGGAGACCAGGGCAGGCAGGGACTCTCAGCCCCATAGCTAAATGGGGCACGTGCAGGGGGCAAGTCCCTCACTGCCGCAGCAGGCTGCCAAGGGAGCGAGTGGGGCAGGTCTCCCCAGCGAGGAACCGGAGGGGAACACTCCAGACCCCAGTGCACAGGCAGCTGGGCTTGAGGCTCTGAGGGACAGGTCTAGGCCCAGGGCAAGAGGCTGGCCAGGACTGACCCACCTGCCCCCTCCTGGCAGAGGCCAGGGCTTGGGTCAGACCCGGTACCGCAGCCCCTCTCCCCGTGGCCTGCACAGCAGCAGATGCAGAGCCTGGAGCCCATGCCGTGACTGGAAGTGATTTGAGCCGAATGCCGCCTGCCAAGTCCCAGAGCATGAACTCCCCCCCCCCCACAGAAGCAGCCGCAGCTGCACGCAGAGCTGGGGCAGACAGCCCGAGTGCCGGAAGTGCGGACACCAGCCTCAGCACTTCACCCGGCCCCATGCAGCAGCTGACATGTGGCCCTAACCCTGTGATGACAGGAGCCCCCGCAGCCCAGAAGGGAGATCTGTGCCAGTGACCACAAACCCCACCGTGATCCCTGAGGGGGGCTAGAGCCCAGTCTGCCCTCAGTGCATGGCATGGAGCCAGTAGACCAGCTGCTGGGGGGTGCGTCTCCACAATGCCCTGGGCAAAGCTCCATCACCTGCCCTTGTCTGGCTCTGGCTGACTGCAAGGGGAGAGCCCTCCCCCTGCCTCAGGCGGGGGCTGCCCAGCCCAGGAGTGGCCCTGCCTAGCTGCAGCTGGACGCAGACTCCCTCAGCCTCAGGAGGGAAGCAAGGGCCATGGCCGACGGTTCCCCATGAGAGGTTTAATGGGGATGAGGGAAGCAGACAGCAGCCACCCCCCATGAGCCAGTTCCAGGACCAGCCCCGCTGGCTGGGGCATTTCAGGCTCTTGCAAAGGCCGAGTCTCCTCTGCACCGCCCCGTGTGGCAGCAAGGGGCCTCCTGCCGGTCACCCCGAGCCTCTGGCTCGGCTCGTGTGCTTCAAGCCAAGTCCACGGTGCCCCTGCCAGCTGGGCAGCTCTCTACTCCGTGACCTCAGGGCTGACGTTCACCAGCAGCATGTCATGGCCGCGCTGCACGAGCAGGGCCAGGCTGTTCTGTGTCCGCACGGCCTCGTAGATGTCCTCTGCACGCCGCACCGTCTGCCCATTGATCTCCTGCACAATGTCACCTGCCTTCAGGCCTGCCCTGTCGAGAGAGCAGACACCAGCATGCTGGGGGTCCGACAGTGATGCATGCAGACCTGCTCTCCCCAGAGCCCTGCCCCAGGCAGACGGGGATGGGGGCATGGCCCCACCTAGAGCAGTTGGCTGGCTCTGGGTTGTGGCTCCCCTGGGAAAGCTGCAGTGTATTGACGTGAGGGCAGCCCTCCTGGCACGGACAGGGTTAACCCCGTCAGGAACACACTGGCTGCTGGTGTGGGCTGCCTGGGGGCAGGGGATGGGCACTGAGTCCACAGTGAGCACCCCGCGTTCTGGGCCCCCCGCCCCAGCAGCACTTACTGGTGGGCTGGGGAGCCAATGATCACCTTGTGGATCAGGACCCCGTACGAGACATCAGGGAAGCTGGAGTCTCGCAGCTTCAGCTCGGCCAGGATACTGCAGAGAGAGAGAGCGAGAGAGAGCGCGCGTCACTGAAACACCCCCCAGCCAGGGGCTGAGGACACCGTGTCCCAGCACTGGAGGGCGCTGGAGCAGCCTCACCCGGCCCAGTCGCCCATCCCTGAGAACAGCCAGCAGCAGCCGCCTGCCATAGGGAGGCCAGGTTAACATGCCCCAGGAAAGTCCCTTCCTGACCTGGCAGCAGGCAGGTTCTAGCTCTGCCACACTCATTACTGCTCGGCAGGTTCTACTCTAACGCTGAGCTGGGCCATTGTCTCCTGCCCCTCTCCAGGGCTCAGCCCTGCTCCCCCAAGGGAAAGCAGACTCGCCAGCACACGGAGCACACCGGCGCCATCTCCTGGACACCAAGAGAGGCAGTTTAAGAAATCAACCACCACCATTAACCCCGATTCAAGGAGACGCAAGTGGCATCTCCCCTTCCAGCACCCCAAGAAGGGGATGTAAAAGGCCAAGGGCACCAAGCGGGATCCTCAGGCCTACCTGGAAGCAGGACTCAAGAGCAGAGCATAAGCTCACAGCGAAGGTGGCAGCAGCACCCGTCCCCATCCCCTGGGGGGAAGACGCCTGCTGGTTCATGCCATGGCATTGTTTTGTTGGACCACCGCACTACTAACCCCACTAACAGACTGAGCTTTGAGAGGCAACTAAAGGTACATCCCAAGCCCCAGCCAGCCAGGCAGCGAGAGACCCACAAAGTCCCTTATGCAGCTGAGCCTGAAAGCTCCAGCCTGCCAAGACACTTCAAGGCTCAGCAGGCGCACGCAGGTATTCCAGTGCCACCCTTCGGAGCACTGCCAGGGGCTGCCTGCCTATGGCATCCCGGAGCGTGCGGCAGAGCAGGGCGTGGGGAATGCAGAACCCTGGTCACCTGCCGTGGAACACAGGAGCTGACCATTGTTACTGCGGCCTGGCGATTTCCCATAACCCCAAATGGGCCATCTGCATTCCTCCAGAATGACACAACTTCTCCTTATTTGCTGTGCGAGACCATGGCCGCCTGTGGTGGCAGAGTAAATCTAGAGACGCCTGGTGTTGCGCAGAAATGAGAATAGCTCTCTGTCCATAGATTCATAGATTCTAGGACTGGAAGGGACCTCGAGAGGTC